GATTTTTTTCCATGTCAAATTAGTAATTATGTTTGCATTTAAATTGTTCTGTGTCAGTTTTCAGGTTTTATTGATTTTTCCATTCTGAAATTACCTTCATGCAGGTCCAGTCATTCCCAAAGACTAAAATACTAAGACTGTATTTTCTTGTTTACAGATAGTAGAACTTGTGCTTTTAATGTAAATTACAGAGTGTTTCCATGGTAAAAATAAAGTTATATTTTAATGATTCATTTTAATTTTTGGTTTATATATGGGGTCCTATGCAAAATGGAAGTGAAAGTATTACTGCCATAACAATGGATTTGTTATTGTCATGTTCTAGTCAACTAATACATCATAGGAAGCAAATACAAGTACAAAGTGAAATATGGCTAATTTGCATAAATTAATATATCAATACTCATATTTCCTTAGTTTACAAAAAAAAATTATCCTAATTTTTAAAAAAAATACTGTTTTCAGTTCTGAGGGTTTCTTCCTTAACATCAACATTTTAATCTGCCAAACATACCATTAAAATTCATGACAACCATAACCCTTTAGCTAAGACAGAATATTTGAATACTCACTGTGAACTGTGAACTCATTTTGAACACTGCATAATAGGATACTGTGACATTGTTCTCAAAGATACATCTTACACATGTGTTAGGTGAGCTTGCAAGAAATTTGATTGGTGGTGACACACAGTCTGTGAATAAAATTAAAAATAATTTAAAGATTGATAAACAAATAATTTTATTATTACAGCAGATCCCCTGTAGCACATATCCCCGCCACCCCCACCTGCACTAAAAAAATTGTTTGCTTCCCAACCAAGGGGGAAATTTGTTTATTAAGATTATTCAATACTAGAAGTAGATACATGTGTGTCCAGCATTTAATATTTTTTTTTAATGCTCAAACACATGTTTACAGGATGATTTGGATAGACAAAGAATCCTCTGAAAATGTACACTCTATTGTACATGTACATCAAACATTTATTGGTATACAAAATTAAAAATAAATGTGTGGGGCACAGGTTTCAAACTGATCTGAAACTGACAATTTTTTTTGGCTAAACAATATTTGCAATTTCACTAAATTCCTCACCACTAATTCAAATATAATTAATTAATCTTCACCTTTATAAATTTGCAGCAACAATCACACTCACTGTTAATTATATAACTGGTTAAATTAAATAAAGTGAAGGCAAAAAATTGATTTATCCCCTTCAAAAATAATACACTGTCACTCTCACAAAATGTAGTAGAATAATTAAAAAAATCTTTATATTTAATTTTAAAGCGGGGTTAGAGGCACAAAATGAACCGTTCCCAACTATGGGATCTAGAGAACCATAAAATATCATGTCAATGAAAACAGTTTTACCCAATCAACCAGAAAAAACAAAAATGAGCACACAACGGTCAACTATTAATTACGTCTGGAAATGTATTATGACAAGATATTTCCCACCTCTCATGGTGAACAGGCGCAACAACTATTTCTTGAATTCGAAAAAAAAAGCAAATGTGTCACCATAAAACAATTCAATTGACACAAAATGTCATTTTACCACAAGAATATACAGTAGGTATCAAATTTAACTCAAAATAAACCCGAGGTCCAAGTACCGTTGAAATTCGATCACATGTGATAAGCTTACCAGATCACGGAGCTCCATTACAAGACCAACTTTTAAATGCACACCGACATGGCACACCTTGGATACAGAATAAGTGTAGAGACTTCAAGGAAGCGACGGTGAGCACCATGTAATCAACGAACAGGCACACACATAAACTTTCTGGCAGAGTCAATTGACGACTGCGGCATAATCCATCATCCAGTTTTCCGCGAGTTCATTGTAATTTTCAGAATCTCCTTCTCGCTTCCTTTCTATATGATTCTGAGCGGTGTTACTCGGGTACCTACAAGTTCATAATACACCAACAGCAGATTAAAATTATGCAATATTACAGCAATACAAGTCAACAGTAATGCCATGCAGACACCCATCGCTCACTCTCACTTGTAGTAAAACGACACGCGTCAACATGTTGTGCGCCATCTACGGCCACTCAATCAGTTCATTTTGTTTAAATCTGAATCCCATTATCATCCCTGTGATAAAGTTGACCGCAAAACTTACTGTGCACATTTTGTTTGAAATGGCTGAATATAAATACATACATTACACATAGGTTGAACTCTCACAACAATTATATTTGATTCGCAAAGACAGATGGAAATCATGTTTTGTAAACTAATTTGGCAACATAGAATGAATGATAATGATGCTTCAACAGTAAATGAACCTGGAAGTCTCAAACACATGAAATTTCCAATAGTAAATAAAACAGACAAGCTGTAGATGCACAGAATCACGCTTTTTTGGAATTTATTAATTCTTCTAGCAAAATATATTGCAGTTCTTTAACATAAATTTTTCAGAGAATACTTTTCATTCAACAAGTGTTTTTCAAATGAATCACTCAAACACAATTTGAAGATACCCTGGATGTTAAACTTTGCAAATACCGTAATAGGTTTTGGAGAAATTTATGGCCGTCAAAATGCACACAAGCTGTAATATGATTCAATAATTAGATTAGGTTTAATACTTACCTAGGTTTGTAAATTTTCCGATGCAGGAAGGAAAGAATTTTTACCAATGAATCCGTCTGAAGTCGTCCACTTAGAGCAAACATGCCATAATTGGTGATTCAATGAAAATTATAGATACAGGGCACACCACGAAAAAAGGTGTATTTTGTAAAGTTTTTGAATGTCATTCCCTGTTTGCACTTTTCTATTGGTAACACGTTATGCTATTATTATTATTTAGGATATGTCATTTTAATAGTGACCAACATTTTGTTTAGAAAAAAATCACTGTGAAATATTAAAAAAAAGATTAGTTTGGGCTAACTAATATAGACTAAAAAGGTGAAATTAAAAGCTGTTCAATTAACCTGCCCTCTGGCTAGAAAAAATCTCAACTGGTCTATGATTTATTCCCACTCATGGCTGTAAGAAGTATGAATCTGTTAAAAGAAGTTAGCATAAATTGTTAGCTTAAAGACCCATATCTAGCAGCCTGGCTGTAAATTAATCCCTTAGTTTTGGTTGTTTCCATAAGATTCCTGATAGTCTATTATAGTCATGCATTTAATTTTGGAAATCATTGAAGACAGTGCACTTCTTGTAGAGCAAGTCGTATATGTGAATAGCTATGGTGTAATTCACTACTGCTACCGGGTAGTGGTCATTTTGACCTCACGTGGACGCCCTGACACAGCAACTCTTGGAAAACATCCTACAATGGTGCTGGTGTGGTAGTGTGGTAGACTGCTGGCAAAACTCTTTCAATTTAATTCTATTTGATGAATATTTTGGTAATTAACTTCCATGGATAATTTTCAGATCCACAACTTTTTTTAATTTATCAAAATTTGTTTTTATTTATTTAATTTTTTTATATGTAGTTACAAAATAGCTTCTCTCCCTCAATAAATCTAGTACATGCATGTGAGTTGATATACTACACTGGTACCAACAACATACTCACATTATTGGCAGCATTCACATTGGCACCTTTAGCTAATAACAATTCAACCATAGATGTGTATCCTTCCTGTGCAGCACCATGTAATGGAGTGTCCTGGTCCTGGAAAAGAAATGAAAACATTACTTTGATCAGTATAATGCAATCTATGATGGAATACCCTGGGATAAAATATTTGGAATTTTAGTGATGTTAACTGACTGGATACACTGATAAAATAATGTTGAATACAAATAATGGTAAACATTAAAGGAGAAGACCAGAAAACAACAAAATGCTCCCAGGTGAAAGAGCATTATTTTGTTTACCTCTTTTAAGGACTCATAAAATTAAATAAACACAAGCAAAGAAAATAAACAAATTAAAGTAGAAAAAAATAATGAAAAAATAATTTGGATTGCTTTTCAGATTTGTGTTGGTGAATATTTGGTTTACCAATGCATGTACATGACCTTAACTTGAGGTCGCTGACTTTATTTTTCAGTTTTTCTTCTGTTGTTTTGAAACAGTTATTTATGTATTTTGCTATTTGTATTATTGTTTTCTCATCTTTATTATTCAAAACATATTTTAGTTTTTCTTTATATTTTGCTAAATGTGGGGGTGATAACTGCTGGTAAAGTTTTTTTTATTTCTTCTGCCTAAAGATCACACGTTAACAAAAAATATGTTCTTCGTCCCCTATGGTGTTCACTCACAAAATAGCCATTTTCTGTCAGCTATATCTGTGTTATATCTCTCAGTCTCTATTTGTAGTCTGTGAGCACTAATCCTCAATTTTATCATTGTTGACCTGTGATGGGTATTACTGTAATGACTATATGGTATGTGTAAGTAGTTTTCAAAACCATGATCTGTTTTCAATTCTCTGTAAGTGCACAATTTATTATTGTGATTTTTCCCCTTTGTTATCATTTTCCAAAAATTAGTTTACAATTTTTTTCAAATTTGTTCTGATATTATTTTATCTATAATTACACTGTTCACGTTTTGCATTTTTTCTTCATGCCACAAATGGTCTATATCTAGATCTTTAAGGATAAGTTTTGAACCGGATCGGAGACCCAGTTGTAGATGCCAGAGTTGTCTGTTTCTAAGCTGAGACTGTATGCTTCATATACATTACCCATGAATTTGCAGGCATTTTGTTTATTCTAGACCAGTATTTGATCATCTGTTTTATACCTGCTGTAATTAAATAAGTCAATTTGCTTTTAACTTTGTGCAGATATTTGCAATATTTCCATTGTAAGTGTTCCATTGGTGACATGATATTCATATCAAACATTTTAAGGTGTGTTTTATAGGTATATATGTATCTGAGAATAATACCTTGTTTCATCCTGAAGCATGATTTCATAGCTCTATTTTTAAGATCTTCTTGTGCCAAGTCAAATTTACAATTTGTTTTATAATTTAAGTGCAGGTTGACACTTTTTAATTCAACACCATCTATGAGAAAATTGTTAACGTGTTTGTTGAATACCATGGTTTTTGATTAATTTATATCAATGCTTAATTTTCATTTTTTTGGAGTAAATTTGAAGACTACTTAGTGCATTCTGCAAACCTGAATTGCTTTCTTATAGTAGAATTAAGTCATCTTCATATAGTAAACATGGCAGTGTATTATTTCACAAAGATGGCGGATTATCCCCCCTGTTTATATGTCTTTTAATATCATCATATATTAAATAACAGTTGACTTAGGCCATTCCCTTGCCTCATGCCTCTTTCTACTAGAAATGTTTTTCTTATAAAGCCTTTTTTTGTTTTTATGAATGCAAGTGAATTTTGGTAGAAAAATGTCCCTGAGCTAATTTTTATCACTCAAACTAGAATGCTTGTTTGTGGTAATGGACAATGATAACTCTGATATCTATCATTTCTGTCATCAGCCATGATCTTGACAACAACTAGCCCTGATCATTCGGTCTCCGCAGTCCATCGCCTTTGAAGGTGGTCGAGTATAAACTGCGTAGTCATAACAACAAACTGAACGAGGCATACAATTACTCCTGGTACTAGCTTGTAGCAGTTTCTATTGCCCCCTGGTCTTATTGCACCCGGGGGGCAATATTACCTAGGTCCTATTGCACCCCGAATAAATGTGTATTACATGTAAAAACTATACATTTTGTTATAAACTCAATAGCATTTTTGAAAAGGAAAGCTGACAATCCCTGGGACAAGATCACAAAAATTTAAAAAGCGAGGCTTATGTATATGCTTGATGTGGCTTAAATTGTCATTTAATATCTCAACTTGGTAAAATGTACATGATCATTTTGTATTACCATGTATTGTAACCCAATCATATAATTATTTTCAAATAAAAACCCAGAAACAGTATTGCCAAGTAATCTGTGGGGCGCACTAGAAACTAGCTAGGATTTATTGCACCCCAGTTAGCATAAATCAGTTTTTATATCATACAAAATATTTGTAGACTTTTGTCAAGTAATCTGAGGGGTGCAGTAGAAACTAGCTAGGATCTATTGCACCCAGTTAGCATATACCAATTTTATATCATACAAAATATTTGTAGACTATTGTCAAGTAATCTGAGGGGTGCAGTAGAAACTAGCTAGGATCTATTGCACCCAGTTAGCATATACCAATTTTATATCATACAAAATATTTGAAGACTATTGTCAAGTAATCTGAGGGATGCAGTAGAACCTTGTGGGTGCTCTCATGAATTGCTTAAGGCATCTATGAAAGACATTTGAGTTGCCTCCAGTTAAATAAACAAATTAAATACTGACAAATTAAATCACAGACAAACACAATATCATCAATATTGTCCGACACAACATTTGTAATATATAATGGTAATAGTATGTTAGGAAGGTAATTTTAATACAACTACCTCTCAAAACAGCAGAACGTCAATTTACTTCTTTGAACATTTTTGCAGCTATTAAATAATATAAAATAATCAAAGTACATGTATGACATTTTAAATTTTTAAAGGGGACAATAAAACCAGGGGAGGCAATAACACCTAGTTAGTATTGCCCCCGGGGTGCGATAAGAACTAGGTGTTACTGCAGGGGGTGCAATAGGGACTAGGTACTATTCAAGGGGTGCAGTAATAAGGGGGTGCAGTAAGATCTAGTACACTAGAACACACATGCGAGAATGAAATCTAACTTGTCATTTCATAGGTAACATACCATAACAATGAATTGGCAAACAAGTAGATAAAGTCCAGTCTGACAAAATTCACGGCAAGGTATTTATAATACAAGTCATTGTCAATGACAAGTTTCTGTCCGGTTTTTAGTGACTGTTTTAGTGCCAAATAATTATTTACACTAAATGTGACATGATTCAAAGTGGG